CACCCCTGGTAGGCTCATCTACCAGCTACAGTAGAAAATTGTCCTCTATGCACTCAAGGAAACTCCTAGACTGTCTTTTCTCTGTACTAAATTTCCAGCAGACATCCAGCAGGTTAAAGTCACCCACAAGAACAAGGGCTGGTGATTTAGAGACCTCCTCCAGCTGCCTGTAGAACAAATCATCACCCTCATCCTCCTGACTGGGTGGTCTATAACAGACTCCCACCAAGATGTCAGCCTTGTTGGCCTTTCCCCTCATTCTGACCCACAGGCACTCAACCTTGTTACTGATCTCAAGTTCTACAGAGTCAAGAGACTCTCTGACATACAGAGCCACCCCTCCACCCCTCCTACCTTGCCTATCCCTTCTGAAGAGCTTGTAACCATCCATGGCAGCACTCCAATGGTGTGATTCACCCCATCACGTTTCTGTGATGGTGAGTACATCATAACTTTCCTTTACATGGCTGGTAACTGCCCTGTCACTGTGCACTGCAGCAGGACAGAGCACAGCTGGCATGGTCAACAGAGACACTAACACTCAGCTAGGGGATTCCTGCCCCAATACCAGCATTGTGCTCCTTAAAGCTAGTGCTTGGTCATGGTAAATGCAAGGAGTAAGTGAGCTATGGTGAGCTCCCAGCTGAAATACCTCTGGGAATGTCTAGACCAGAGTAATGTACTTCTGTGCCTGACCTGCTGCTTTTCCTTGCCTCAGCAGTTTACCCCTGGACCTACCTAGTGCAGACACATAAAACTGTCCCTAGTCTTGAATCATTTGTCATTCAGGAATCAGGCATGTTTCTGTTCTACACCTACAGGAAGGAAGGAGAGCACTACTGTCACTGAGCTTCCCACTGCCATTTTTCATGTACACTGAATGAAAAAAGAAGTTAGGAAGCAAGTTGTTGCCTATTATCCCTGCAACAGACACAATTTATCCTAAAGACAGATCAACACGTCCTCTGCCCAAATCTTTGTATTTTTTTTTCTGAATGTTGCTTCTACGTGAAAAGGTCGTTCCTACTGGAATTCTCTTTCCAGCTGGGTTCTATTGAGGTGTAAGATGCAACAAAAAAAGCACTTCTGAATATCCTGTGTAACAGTCGCTTTATTGTAAAGTCAGTATCATAAGGTAGGAAAGACACACATCACATAGTTCAGCTCTTGAAACAAATGTACAAGCCATGTTCTATTTGTAGAAGGTGCAACATGAAATAGAAACTGAGGGCAAGACTGGCCAACTGATTGAAGGGTTCTCAGCTTGTAAAATATGAGTGAAGAGTTCTTCAGTATTCATATTGAGTATTACTTAAGTTCGAGGAAACACTTCATTACTTTTACCTAGTATATTGTACACCTGTAAGGCATTTTGTTTACCTGAGGTTTCCATTATTTAGTCTGTAAAGGATAAGCATCTTGTAAACAATGAGGTTGGATTATGGGGTTGATAGATGACAGTATTCTGACCCTTCTCTTCAACGGGCTGTTAAAAACAATAGATAAGGGGCTAAGTTCTGGGCAAATGGGCTTGGTTACACTAATCAACACTAAACTAGTATTTCCCAAACCCTGGAAAGGTGGAGGGGAGGAAGTAATACAGAGCAACACTTTCATGGATCTTTATTTCAAAATATAAACATTACATAGTAAGCATAGTTACAATACAAACTGTGGCTCTGCCATTGAGTCACTAAGAAAGTTCCAAAATCCTAATAGCTCTCTCTCAGCATCCTCATCTACAAAATTGTAATAACCTTTCCATACTTCAGAGAAGTGCCATAAAGATTATTTAGTTAAATGTTTACTTAGGGCTCAGAAAACACTAAACATTAGTTATATAAATTATGTGCTAATTTCTTGTAAGCCGCAGTAAAGCCTGAGTGAAGTGCTTTGCAGGAAATCCCCACTGTGAGCTTCTGTAGTTAATTTTGGATAAGGTTATCTACATAGAAGCATGGTATAACAGAAGAATCACTCATAGCTTAGCATCTTCTTTTTAAACTATCGCTTGTTAGCTCTGCTAAACATGTCACAGATTGTTAACAAATCCAGCTGCATGTCAACTAGTAGTCCCCATACTTAGAAAAAAAATAGATCTGTAAGAATTCTTTATTACTACTTCTTGCTTTTGCAAGCTTTGGTTGAGAAAACTTGTGCAGAACTCCCTGCAGTTAAGGACCATAATAGAAACTGATTGAAAAGTGACTGAGGAAATTATTCTTTCCTAGAATGCCAGTTCAGCAAACACTGAGCAGGGGACCATGTTCCTCCCCATTAAGACAACATTTAAGCATATGATTAACTTGCAGAATACGCTCCATTTCCAAAAGTGCGTGGTTAAATACTGTCTTGGAAAAGGACCATTAATACATACACATCGTTGTCATTCCTTAGACATGTTATTTGGATTCAAATAACACCTCAGCCAAACAACACAAAGTTCTAGGTCTGTTAGCTAGTCGTGACTGATTTCATGCCACTGACCACTCTAATGGTCCAACCCTCTGCATTAGGCGACTATTTTACAATATATACGAAAGTATCTAAAAAGTATCCCCTTCCTTCTCAAGCCCTCATGATAGGTGCTTCATTAGGAATCATCCCCTTGTTTTCATTCAGTGGTCTTGCATAAATGCTTTTCTGCACGCTGTCCAGGAAGTGCACATACTGTCTTGTGAGAGATTGCTGATTTAACAGATGTGGAATAAACACTCCATCACTTCTGGCTTGCAGCATGAAGCTCTTCCATGGCCAAAGCAGCTAGTTCTTAGGTGCTTTGTGAAGAAGTCTGTGCATCGTATTTCCTAAAACTGTGGTTACGAAAAGATTCCCTGCAATGAAATAGATCCATAAATAAAGCTGGCAAATGAAAAACCATCCAAGAAAAACCTGCCTTATGAGAAGGAGCAGCTGACAAATCATCAGCTGAAACATGTTATTGTGTCTGCAGGTCAGAGCTATCATTCCTTCTTCTCCTCCCACCCCACACTGGGCACAGTGGCTTTGTGATGGAAGCATTTATTCATAAGCAAAGAACATTAGACTATTCCATCTCAATCATGTGACTGAAAAGGATTATGTTTTTTGGGAGTGAAAGGATCACTCTTAGTTCATGCTGGCCATGCAGTTCATGATGCCATACCTGCTCTATCTTCTTCCTGGCTTCAAATGTTGAAGAAATCACAAGATGTTTCCAACAGACTTTTGTCAGGGTGAAGGGGAAGTCCTCTCTAATGATGCATTAAAATTATATAAGTCCTCTACCCCAGGAATAAGCAGCTTGAGAAACACAGTTAACACTACAATCAGCTCCAGTGGAAGTTAGCAGATTTCTTTACTAAGGAATGGAGCTGGCAGTGCATATTATGACCTGGTTTTAGCTGCCAGCAAAACTCCTTTTCTTCCTTGCAAAAAATGGCATATTTTTGTATAGCCACAACAGATAACCCTGCCCTAACAGTACCTTGTGCTATGGACTTTCACTACAGGTTGGTACAGCTCTGGGATCTTCCTCTCAATCATAGGCCTAAGGTTCTCCTTCAGCTTCACATAGTTCCTTTTGAGCTCTTGATGATATTCCCGTTGGTCAGCAGTAATAAGGTGCTTGTTTTTCTCCACTGCTTCACCACACCTAGGCAAAAGGAAAGAAAAACAGGCACAACCTATGTCATCTACTTCTGTTAAACTCCTTCACTTCATGTTAGGTGATTTAAATGGACAAGGATCCAGCTCCTCCGGTCTAGGCATTCCTCTGGTAACTTGTCAAACCAAAGTGATAATGAACTAATAAGAAACCTCTGTCTTTTCCAAGTACACCAGTTGAGATGATATTTTTTAGACATTAGAAAAAGATGAGCGAGCTAATAAAAAACAAATTTAATGACTGCAGAATACTGAGCTCGCTGCCTACTTACTGTAAACAGATGCAGTGACAATAGTAGAAGTTAGAAGCTGTATCTTCTGCATAAGAAGTTTGTTTGGACTAAGGAGATGAGTATCTTGGTACGTGAGTGTGCTTGTTAAGATTTACTAATGCATCTAAAGAAAAGGACATATGTCTCTGCCACTACCACTGAGTCTGCTTGACAGATAGGATCAAATGTTTCCTTATGAACAGCTTTCTACATAAAAATGTAATTTTATTAAAAATATAATCAAGGCAATAGTCTGAAATGCTTGATTTCTGTAAAATGTCAAAAGATAAAACAAATGGATGTTTTTAATTTATGCATTATTAGTTTGAAGTGTTAAAAATTGTTCCCATTTGGGGTGGGAACAATTCACCAAGCATTGTGCTCACCTAAGCATTCACCACAAAGCAGAGATAACAAGTGTGATATGCCGGAATTCATGATGCTAACTTGCATAATTAATCACGCAGTTGTAGTACGGCTGCATTATAACTATTATTGACTTTATTGATGCAATTCAGCATTTCAGTTTTGTTTTACTGACCTCATTATAAACTCTTTGAAGCACAACCTCAGCTTGTTGTGATGTCGATAAAGTTTGGGGTCTGCGGGAATTTCAGCCAGGAACACTTGCGCGACCTCCAGCGGTCCCTTAGGGAATAACACAGGAAAACGTCAAACACCTCAGGCTGAAAATAGACCGCACGTTTGTTTAAGTTGTTTGTTGTTTCATTAGTGGAATTATGAAAGAAAACAAAACTATGCACAGTTACAATAACAGGATGCCTTTTTTCTCCCTTCCCCTCCCCCCCCGATATTTCCTTTGGCAAGCAGAGTTTTTGCCCACCATATCTTATCCTCTCCTGTTTTTATTTCTCTTCCAGCCCTGCAACAAAGGGAGCAAATTCTGCTCAGCAGAGAACAGTTAGGATAGCTCTACTGACACTTCAGTTATGTCTTCGTTCTTCCATTTGAAAAAACCCTGCCTTGTTTTTTGCTAGTGTGTATATTTATGTTACACTTATAGCATCTCAGCTTTCCTTTGGGGCACTCAAGTCTTGACTTCATGTATTGACTTAATTTCTGTGAAACTGAGTTTGTCATGGACCCACAGCAGAATTGTTATTATTATTCTCGTTCCCCAAGGATACATCTGGAGTGAACAAAATGTCTGAGATAGCTAGCACATTAGAAATGGAAAATCCTTGGATGCGTTCACAACGCTTCTGTGAGTTTATAACCAAGGCAGCACTTCCATGGGCACTTTCACCCGAAGCATACCTAATGAACAGCATACAATGACTAAATATCAAGGGGTAAAGTTTAAATGTACATTGGGACTAAATGTGCCTGACTAGATGTACTTCTTCCAGTGCAAGAGATAAGAGCAAAAAAGAATGCACTATGAGAAAAGTATGCAGAATGTCTTTATCTGGCTTATTTGGATCCCTTACCTGATTTACAGTAGCTCCAACTGAGCCCTGCAAAACCATCTGGAGCATTTTGGCATCTGGTGGTTCCTGGCTGGTGGCTGCAGTTAGTTCCTGTGTTTTTTTACGCATATCTTCAATAGCAACTTCGATTGGGGTTAGAATAAACTAATAGATATGGAAGAAAAGATGCTTCATTACATGAATCATGCATGCAGTTGACAAGTTCTAAATCTGACAATATCACTATCATTCTCTCATGCCAAAAGCAGTTGTGAAGCCCAGGAAGACTGTTCAATATAAATGTCAACTTGGTAGATGCTGTAGCTCTTGACATCCTATCATGTGAGGAGGTGTCCCTGCCCATGGCAGGGGGGTTTGGGACTAGATGATCTGTAAGGTCCATTCCAACCCTTAAATTCTATGATTCTGTAATTCTATGTGCAACAATAGGTTGTGGATCAGACTCTGTGTTTGTATAAATTCA